CATGTTCTGGGAGGACATCATATGAAGCCCTCCCAGAACTGGCAGGCCACAGTGAAGCCGTCATTCGGCTATCTGCGATCAGCAAGTGGTTAAAGCTGAACTCGGGGATAAGAAAATATAGTCTAAACACAAGAGACAGGTGTATTCGTACTTGAATCTTAGTGTGATTTATGTATTTCTGCCAGACCTGTGCAATAATCCAGTGTACAACTTTGTCTCTGTGCAGGAGACTCCTGCAATAAAGACCACTCACTGCTCCTCTCTGTCCTTTTGCAGGATGACTGGTCTTGTCTCCACCCCCTCCTGTAGTTTTCAGCAGGCAGCCTGTAGTGGGTGGGGCCTGCTAGGTCATTTCTACAGCTCTGCTCTCTGCGATGGCTATGCGTAGCACAGGGATTGTGTGACTACTACATTGATAAGGTAATATCTAGGTTTGCAAAGACATGTGGTGAACTTTAATGGATTTATATTCTGTATGGTTTTTGACGAATATATTTGGATAAACGTTTTTGTGGCCGGAGTTTAGCTTTAAGGCATACTACATATCTTTATGTTCTGGTTATTTAGCAGAAGCCGACCCTTTCTTCCCAAATCATCTCAATGAGTCATTCTATCCTCTGAAAACTGAAATTGCTACATGTGCCTATCCTTACTAGTAAATCAGTCACCCCTATCAATGTTAACTAATGGTGCAATGTAATAATTATCCACACACATGCAGCCAATTTGCAGTTCAGTAATTAAAGAAGAGAACCTGTTATAGAAGAGAATATATATTATAGCTGCAAAATGAGTATTGTATATTGTCAGTTTATCACTTTCTATAGCCACACTTTGCTTCTGCTTAAATCTGAAAACGTATTACAATCATTTTTAAGCCTACAGCTATTTCTGTATGTGTCTCATCTCTGTCTCCTTATAATACAGGATCTGTGACTACTTCTGAACAGCTTCTCTTTCATCCCCCAGTGCCTGAAACATGACTCGACTACAACTCCATTATATTACCTTTTTAAGTCTGGCAGATGATGAATATACAGTATAAAGCAGGGATACTGGGTTGAAATTAAAGGAGGCCCAGACAGATGTCTTTTCTTCCACCAAGGTTCCAAATCTCATGTATGTGCTGACTCAGATCCTAGTATATATGAAGCCATTTTATGTTTATTTCCATAGCATTTCTAAAATATTTATTGTCAGTTTTTAGTGTGCCTTCTTACATCAGGTGTCCCCATTAAAGTACCCCCTTACATCAGGTGTTCCAATTAGAGTGCCCCACATCAGAGTCCACTTTACAGCAATCTCCCCATTAAAGTGCCCCCTTACATCAGATGTCCCCATCAGAGTCCCCTTTCTATCAGGTGTCCCCATAAGAGTGCCCTCTTACATCAGGTGTTCACATTAGAGTGCCCCCTTACATCAGGTGTCCTCATCAGAGTTCCCTCTTACATTTGGTGTCCCTATTAGAGTGCCCTGTTACATCAGGTGTCCCTATTGATTGCCTTGTTAAATCAGATATCCCCATCTGAGTGCCCCCTTACATCAGGTGTCCCCATCAGAGTGCCCAATTACATCAGGTGTCACCAGAGTGCCCCCTTACATCAGGTGTCACCATCAGCATGTCCCCTTACATCAGGTGTCCATATCAGAGGGCCCCCTTATACCAGCTGCCCTCATCAAAGTGCCCCCTTACATTAGATGTACACATCTTCCCCATCAGAGTGTCCCTCTCACATCAGTTGTCCCCATCAGAGTGCCCCCTTACATCAGGTGTCCCCATCAGAGTGCCCCCTTACATCAGGTGTCCCCATCAGAGTGTTTCTTACATCAGGTGTCCCTATTAGAGAGTGCCTTTACAGCAGGAGTTTCCCTCATAACATTTAGCACCAGGCAGGCAAAAGGTGGGAGCCGAAGGCAGAGCAAGCTGCAGGTCTAGATGGAGGAAGTTCCACTTCTGTCCTCCTGGGATTCTAGGGTCATAGCACGCATTTGACATCATTGGTTGTTAGAATGCTGGCAGCACTAGCAACCAATGACTGCGGATGAGAATCTGCCCTGGGGACTGGCTGGCTGGCAGTCCTGATAAAACCGTCACTTGGTTTGAATCTGCCAATTAATGATGTTTGACATAGAGGCCTGCCTTTACACACACATGATCTTTAATGGCATCCCAGTCTTAGTCTGTAGGGTTCAATATTGAGTTGGCCCACCCTTTGCAGCTATAACAGCTTCAACTCTTCTGGGAAGGCTGTCCTAAGGTGTAGGAGTGTCTATGGGAATGTTTGACCATTCTTCCAGAAGCGCATTTGTGAGGTCAGGCACTGATGACGGACGAGAAGTCCTGGCTCACAGTCTCCACTCTAATTCATCCCAAAGGTGTTCTATCAGGTTGAGGTCAGGACTCTGTGCAGGCCTCCAACCTCCAATCTCCAAACTCCAAAGACATGCTGGTAGGTTAATTGGATCCTGTCTAAATTGTCCCTGGTATGTGTATGTATGAATGTGAGTTAGGAACCTTAGATTGTACACCCCTTGAGGGTTAGGGACTGATGTGAATGTACAATATATATGTAAAGCACTGTGTAAATTGACAACGCTATATATGTACCTGAAATAAATAAACAAAAATAAACCCAAACTCGCTCATCCATGTCTTTATGGACCTTGTTTTGTGCACTGGTGCGCAGTCATGTTAGAACAGGAAGGGGCCATCCCCAAACTGTTCCCAAAAAGTTGGGAGCATGGAATTGTCCAAAATGTGTTGGTATGCTGATGCCTTAAGAGTTCCCTTCATTGGAACTAAGGGGCCAAGCCCAACTCCTGAAAGACAACCCCACACCATAATCCCCTCCTCCACCAAACTTTACACTTGGCACAATGCAGTCAGGCAAGTATCGTTCTCCTGGCAACTGCCAAACCCAGACACGTCCATCGAATTGCCAGACAGAAAAGACTCCAGAGAACACGTCTCCACTGCTCTAGAGTCCAGTGGCAGCGTGCTTTACACCACTGCATCTGATGCTTTGCACTGCACTTGGTGATTTAAGATGGATGCAGTTGCTCAGCCATGGAAACCCATTCCATGAAGCTCTCTATGCACCGTTGTTGTGCTAATCTGATCCACACAAAGTTTGTAGGTCTTTAGCTATTGATTCTGCAGTCAATGACTTGGAGGGGTGTCCCAATACTTTTGGCAATATAGTGTATGTATGGGCTGTTGCAAAGCACTGACTACATACGTACAATACATCCTGAGGTTTGCTTCAATCAATATATACTGTATACACGAGGGTTCTTCAAAACGTTTCTGCACTTTTTTTAACATACATATACAGTTGTGCTCAAATGTTTGCATACCCTGACAGAAATCATGAAATTTTGGAATTTATATTGAATATATGACTGATCATGTCTTTTATTTATTTAACCCGCCCTCGCCGCTGCCCACCCGCCTTCGCCTCCCCTTGCCGCCACCGGCCTCCGCTCGATAGTTCTCAGAAACCATCAAGCGATAGGGTCTTATTGACTCCATATCTCTCCATGAAGAGAACCTGTCACTATTTCCATCACAAGGGATGCATGCATTTCTTGTGATAAGGAGGATAAAAGTGATTAAACATTTTTGGGACAGTGCATAAAAAAAGAAAAAAAAAAAAACATTAAATGAATAAAAAAAAAAAAAGTTTAAAGTGCTCCCTGTCCCCCCGTGCGCACGTAGTGGTGAACGTATATGTAGGCCATGCCCACATATGTAAACAGTGTTCAAACCACAGACGTGAGGTATCACCATGAACGTCAGAGCAAGAGCAATAATTCTCGCACTAGACCTCCTCTGTACCTTTACACTGCTAATCTGTAGACATTTTTAAATCATCACCCATGGAGATTTTTAAGTACTGCAGTTTCAAGCCATTCCACGAGTGTGCGCAACTTTAAAGCGTGACATGTTGGGTATCTATTTACTCGCCGTAACATCCTCTTTCATATTTTACAAAAAAATGGGGTATATATTGTTTTTTTATTGTTTTTCTTAATCAAAGTGTATTTTTTTTTTCTAACTACTGTAAGTCTGACTCAGCATAGAGCATATGTTTGGTTGAGCATAGGGTTATAGATGTAACTTTACTTGAGGTGTGTTGGACCTCTACAGAGAGACTACTGCTTGCACACAGGGAGCAATGATTTTTCTGAACTGAACGTTCAGTTGGGCATTAAATACACCATCCAAATCCTGTCTACCAATCAATGTATTGCACTTCTTAATATACTCCTCCATGATATTTAGTAATAGAAAGGAAATATGAGAACACAATACATGTTGACATGCATTGGTGTGCACTGAATTGCATTAAGAATTGTATTCGGTTGACGTAAATGGCACAATGCAGCTCAATGCACCCAAAATGCAGTCCAACACAATTCTTTCTGAAGATGCTTGATTGGCAAAACATGTAGAGGCGGAGTGTTGCGTCCAGCCACATCCGGGTCCGGTGACGTCACATCTGCTTTCTGGTTAATGGAACACTTGCCAACTCCATTGCTTGAGTGGCGTTAGCATTTTAGTGCCGAGGATTGGGCACCAACTAATGTGAATTAGTTCTTGTTAGTTTTATCTTTTTTAATAAACATACTACGCTATGAGAAATTACTCCTTCTGATTTATGATGATCTTGGATTATGGAGTAAATTGGGAAACTATTGAGAGGATATCCACTGAAGTTCCAAAGTCTTGGGGCACAAAGCGCATTAGACCTTCTTTTAATTAGGAGGTCATGGATGGTTGGTGAGTGCAATGGTGGTGAGTGCAATTGGCATATGTTGGTGGAGCACAGAGGATCTGCATGAAGCAACGTATTGGACACTAGACGATTATGCACTGGTATTGATGCACAATATGGTGTGGGACCAGGGGCGGACTGACAACTCATGGGGCCCCCGGGCAATAGGGGATCATGGGGCCCCTGTGTCCTTGCCCAAACTCAAAAAAGCCTATGAAAAAGGTACCAGGGGCATCTCATGGGGCCCCCTACTGACCCCGGGCCCTTGGGCAGTACCCGAGTTTCCAAATGGTCAGTCCGCCCCTGTGTTGGACTTTTGTTTTTTGGATTTGCTGATCCATATCATTTTCTGTTTTTGTATATCATTTTATGTTTTTGTATGTTTATATTACAGTCGGAATATTGTTTGTATAGAATGTATGTGAAGCGCCATACCTTACATTAAAATTTTCATCACAAGTGATTTCTCACTTTAAGGGGCAGCTAACATTTTTCCTTTCATCTTGGTACACCATATGGCTGATTAGAAATTCACATTTTTTCTTAAATACATATTTTTGCAAAAATAGTTTATTATCCTTGCATGATAAGACAAGATGCTTAGTCTTTTTATCAAAATGCAGTCCAACACAATGCCAGGGTGTAAACAGATCCTATATAAGACACTGGAGTTTTTCTTGTGAATGCATTGCAACACATCTAGTGTGGACAAACCCAAGGGTACCGGCCATATAGAACCTCTCAATACAGAATAGTTAACAAAATCAAAGGCAATCTTTACCTAGCCCTGCATCCATGTGTATACTGTACTCTATATACAGATTTAATAGTGAACAGCAGGGCAATATTGTTACTGTTTACAGTGCAGTATTTATTACCAAGTTTGTCTTATTAAACTACACAGGTTTTTGAAGTAACCATTGTGCCCAACTAGAAATGACAATTCTACAACTGTCTATAAGAAACTAGGAAATGTTTCTACAGTTCCCACATAGCAAGAAAGTGAACATTCCCATCTGGGCATCCTGGAAATGTCAAAACACTCTACAACTATAGTGCTCAGCATGGGGCCATGAGTGATTATTGTACAACTAATGGTCCCCATCAGCCAGGGCAGGTTTTGGACAAAAAATATAAAGGGACCCCTATATTCTCAATGACAGTTGCCCAGTTTGTCTTCCCCCCCAAAAAAGATCCAAATACCAGCCCTGCCAGTTGTGGAAACATTGATGTATAAGAGGTGCTGTATTGGCAGTGATCTCTAACAGTCTCTAGTGTTTGCACTCCGAGCACACATGTAGCCTGTCCCAAGTCTTCTTTGACCATCTTCTCCATCTCCAAAGGTGTGCTCAGGGGTGTATTTACCAAATGGCAAACAAGGCATTTGCCTAGGGTGGCATGTTTCAGGGGGGGCAGCACTGCACCTTGGAAGAAGGGACGGAAGAAGGGACACATGTGGCATGGGTACCTGATGGGTTCTGTGAGATACTGTGGGTTTCATGATGGTGTATGCACAGCCCGACTCGCGTTCCTGGAGATGTCTGGAGCTGTGAAGGTGAGTGTCTTTCTCTCTCTTGCCATGGGGGATGGTGGCTGGTGTATGGGGGGGCAGTGGTAGTGGAAAGCTTGGGTGGAGGGCAGGGGTGTTCTTGGTCAATGTCGGGCTCTTTCTGTGGGGGGGGGGGTGCCGCCAATTTTTGTGTTGCCTAGGGCAGCACAAAACCTAAATACACCACTACGTGTATTCACACTAGATGTATGAACCATGCCTGATCGTGATTCACCCCTGATCGTGCTCTGTACTGTGATAAACTGTGCCCACAACCATTTAGAAGCGATTATGCTATTTTACTTTCCACTTCTATGAGCATCCATTTGGCATCTATGTTTTGTGAACAATACATGATTGGTAAAGCACTAGACGTTTGCACCCTCCGGTTTGTTCTTTCTGCACTTGGAAGTGGTGTTCTGGGGTATGGTTCAGTTGGACTCTGGCATGGTACGCTTAGATGTGATTCCTAAACATTCCCAAGCACCAAATTCTCATACAGCACTCACAGAACAATGTAGAGGGATCACTGTAGTCTGGCTAGCAGAGGTGAAGACATGACCATGCTTGAGTCTGGCACAATGTGACCAGATGGGAAGGTAGGGATGAGGGACAATCATACTCAAGAAGGGTATAAGGCAACTGTGCCTTGAGTAAGTACACCCAACATGCCCCCAGTCTTCTGTAGTACTACATATACCAGCTATTATATGTGGCCCCCTTGGTAACATCAGGGGCCACTCTTGAAGCCCCCTATACCTAGCAATTTGACCCCTTAAATATCACCATAACCAGAAATGTGTGTAGAGTGGGGTTGCCCTTTAAGCTGTTAGAAATACAATTTACACTGCAAGTCACAGAAAGGTAATAAAAGCATTGCAGCAATCACAGTCCGATTTCTCTGCAAGCCAGCTCAGTGTCATATAATACACCAGCCAGGAAATCCTCCAGCCTGTGCTGAGGGATACAATGTAACATTCAATGGTGAACCTGTCTGGCAGCTGGCAACAATGTAATTCCTCATTGTTAATGCAAACAAACAAAAAACAGAACAGGCAGCCCGGATACCATTTGATCCTATACAGTGAACCTGCATTCAGTTATCACATATTGTATTTGAATGGATTGTCTGGGAGTATGTGTATGAATGCATACCTGCTCATATGGGGGATGGGCTTAGATGCCCGCTGCATTGAATGGCACATGTGCTGATGATCTGTTCAGGGCCCCTAGGATACTATATATTAAATGGATATCTTATCACACAATGAATATTATAATAAAACAAGATACACCTACTTAATAATGTGACTGTATTCCCTTTCATAAAACAACTGCAAACATCTATGGTCAGCCAGGCAGCATGGCACTGTCAATTAACCCACATCATGCCATACCACATACAGGTGGTCAGATTAGGGCCCCTGTGCCAATGATATATTAAACTGATATCTGAACACACACAAAAAATATTTTATCCTTTTAATCCATAAAACTGATATCTGAGCATGCAATGTTATATTTATATTAATCCATGTGACGGTATTCTCTTCTATAGAGGCCTCATTGGCTCTAGCATTTGCATGTATCAAGTGCCAGCCAGGCATTGTGCCATACCATATGCAGGGGATCAGTTTAGGGCCCCTGGGTCAATTATATATTAAACTGATTTCGGAACACAAGAAGTATTTTATTCTTTTAATCAATAAAACTGATATCTGAACATGCAATGTTTTATTCATATTATTAAAAAATGTGATGGTATTCTCTTCAATAAAGACCTCATTGGCTCCAGCATTTGCATGCATCAAGTGCCAGCCAGGCATTGTGCCATACCATATGCAGGTGATCAGTTGAGGACTCCTAGGCCAATGATATAATAAATTGATATCTGAACACACAATAAATGTTTTATTCATATAAATCAATAATGTGACTGTATTCTCTTCTATAGAGACCTCAATGGCTCTGACATTTGAACACCTAAACTGCCAGCTAGGCACCCTACCATACAGGCAGGAGATCGGTTCAAGACCCATATGTGAATTATATAAACTAATATCTGAATAAACAACATTTTATTCATATAAATCAATACTGTGACTGTATTTTCTTCTATAGAGACCCCAGTGTTTCCAGCATTTGTATACATCAACCGACAGCTAGGTATCAAGCTATATCATATGCAGGTGATAGGTTCAGTACTGCTAGGCCAATGATATATTAAATTGCTATCTGATCACACAATATTATAATAAAAATGACACACTTACTCAATAATGAGATTGTACTCTCTTCTGTAAAATATTTACATACATCAAGTGTCAGCCAGGCAGCATGGCACCACTAATTAACCCACATCATGCCATACCACATGTAGGTGATTGGTTTCCGTTCCCTAGGCCAGTGGTATATGATACTGATATCTGAGCACATAAAAAAGGTTTTATGAATATTAATCAATAACGTATTCTATAAAGACCTCAGTGGCTCCAGAATTTACATATATCAACTGCCAGCCAGGCATCATGCCGTACCAAATGGAGGAGATCAATTCAGGACCCCTTAGGCCATTGATATAATAAATTGATATCTGAACACAATAATTATTATAGTAAAAATTACACATATTTCCAATAATATCACTGTATTCTCTTCTATAAGAGTGGCACTGCTAATCAACCTGCATCACGCTGGACCATATGCAGGAGATCAGTTCAGGACCCCTAGGCCATTGATATTGATATCTGAACACACAATAAATATTTTTTTAAAAATTGACACATCTATTCAATAATGTGACTGTATTCTATTCTACAAAAAAAGCCATACATGAAGTGCCAGCCAGCAGCATGGCACTGCTAAGTACCCGGCATCACGCTGGACCATATTTAGGAGATCAGTTCAGGAACCCTAGGCCATTGATATTGATATCTGAACACAAATAATTATTGATACACCTACTCAATAATGTGACTGTATTCTCTCCTAAAAAAAAAATGGCAAACATGAAATGCCAGCTAGCAGCATGGCACTGCTAATTAACCTGCATCATGCCACACCACATGCAGGTGATCTGTTCAGGCCCCCCACCCCCCCCCCCCCCCCCCCCCCCCCCCCCACCCAGGCCAATGAATTAATGGACATCTGAAGACACAATAAATATTTTATTCCCATAAATCAATATTGTGACTATTGGCTTCTACAAAGACCTCAGTGGCTCCAGTATTTGCATACAGCCAGCCAGGCAGCATGGCACAGCTCATTAACCCATCTCATACATGATCAGATCTGAAGCACAGACATAGGGGGATTCATGGTGTTTTTACTGCTAGGGTGACCCCCATCTCTAGGATGGTGCAGTATGCTAGAGAAGGATTTTTTTTTCTTGCATTGGCAGCAAATCTGCCCCCCTCTTACCTTGTGTGGGGTGCTGCAGAGCTGACATCAGGGCCAGCAGCAGCATCAGCACAGCAGTCCATCTGGTCCATGATGGTTCTAGCAGAGGTTTCCTCATTGCAGCCCATCCTTGTGCCACCATGGGTCCACCAAGCCACTTGTCAGCAGGAGCCATCAGAGGGGGTAAGGCAGCAGCCCGAAATACATGAGAAGCAATCACCCCTCGGGTCACAGCAGCCCAGGATCATCAGATGTCATGAGTACAGTCCTTCCAGAACCCCCCACAACAAATGCCAGGATGTCCCGGGTGCGCTGGCTGCAGGTGTGCTAGGTGCTCATGGTGCCCCAGGTGAGCGCTGTGCTGGCACGGGGCCCCGGGTGGACCTGGAGCAGGATCAGGAGGAGGAGGAGGAGGAGGAGGAGGTGTGCTGCTCACTCGGCGTTTCTGTTGCTCTGGGGATGGAACTGTTCTTGCAGCTTAGAAACGTCTTTTCATTGAAAAGGAGATCACGTAGCAACCAGCT